AGTGTAATGTTAAATAGGTTTGTACAATAAGTCCAAACAAGTTTAACCCAAAAATATTTATTTCTCACAATATATTTAGAAATATTAGAATAATATATAATATCATATATAATATTATATTATTATATAATAATACAAATAATAATAATAATAGTATATAATAATATATTATTCTTATTCTGATATATTCATAATATTATATTAATATTATATTATATAATAATAATATTATCTATCATAATAAATTATATTTATTATTATTATAATATTCTATAATATAATATAATATATTAGAAATATTTATTTCTCAGGGTCAGGGTTATAGTTAGGGTCAGGGTTAGAGTTAGGCTTAAGGTTATAGGGTCAGGGCTAGGGTTATGGTGGGGGTTAAGGTTAGGGCTAGGGTTATTAATGTGGGCCACCATAACATCAGTAACAGGTCAGTTTGAAACCAAAGACACTAACCTGTCAAAACTCAGTTAAATTTCGGGGTCTTTGTTTTTATCCTTGTATCGAAAACGATATCGAACATTTTCCTGAGTATCGGTATCTGGTTGAACATTATGGTGACAGCTCTAGTTTGTATCTCTGACCTTTGACCCCTGGGTGTCTCCTCCAGTCCTGGTCCGGTTCGTGTTGATGGCGCTCCTGAACCTCTGGGTGCTGCTGACCGTCCTCCACTACCAGAAACACGCCCGCCGCGCCAAGAAACACCACTGACCTTTTAAAACTCACAACTTTAAAAAGAAACTTTTCTAACTGTGACTTTCCCCCGACCAAAAACTGAAATCTTCCAACTCTTCCCACTCGGGACCAAGAAATACTGTATTTTTAATAGCGTTTGTGTGGAACTCTTTTTTTTCCAAAACTTTTAATAAAGGAAATGTTTGACAGATGGATTCACAAAAAATAACCCAAACCAAAACGCACATCCATTTCTTTATTGTTGAAGTGGTTATTATCGTAATTATTATCATTATTATTATCATTATAGAGCTGTTTGGTAGCAAACATGCAATCTGGATGTAAAGCCCTTAAATACAAAGTGGACACGGCTGTATAAATAATAATGTGCACTGTATGGCATGTAAAATATATACTGTGGATATTTATATGTATAAAACATGCTTCTCGGTTAAAGGAGGCACTCACACACACACACACACACACACACACTCTCTCATAGTTTACTCTCCAGCTGCTTGTTGAAGCCACACACACCACAAAGTGTCCAAACTCTGAGTCTGGTTACGTTTAATACAAAAACATCAGGACAGACATAGAAAAAAAACCTCAAACCGGGCCGGTTCTGCTCACCGCCTCCGGTTCTGCCTCTCCGGGGTTCCCCTTCGTACTTAGAACCCCTTCTTTTTTCTTATTTTTGTTTTTAAGATGGGGGGAGGGGCTGAAAGAAGCAGAAACAGGCCGGTCCTCTGGGATGAATCGGGGTCTGTGTGCCTGTTTTTTCCCCTCTGGTGTACATTCAAAAACAAAAGGAGCCGGGTTTGGATGTGGGGGGGTTTGGGGGTGTGTACCCCCCCCCCACCCCCGGTGACCCCCCCTTTAGGACCAACAGTGCAGGTGTGTGTGACTACAGGAGGGTCCTCCACATAAAGCCTCAGGAGCCGGATCCTGCTCACAAAAAGGCTCAAAAACAATTACAAAAAAACAAAAACAAAGAGGCACTCGGAGGAATCTCTGAGGAATCCCGGAGGAAATGAAGCGGCTC